GCGGTTCCACACAGGGTTAAAGCAGTGTTGCTGTTCAATGACACTAACTTTGCCCATAAACATTGAAGAGCTGTTTTATTTATTTTATTTGTAGTACAGTGACTCTTAATTTTTCCATTTTCTAATATATGAAAACAGAAAATCATCATGCCAGAAAATAGCAGACCCCCCTCATTTTTTACATATGTGATAAGAAGTGGTGAGAAATGGAGTAATGTTGCTTTCTGCATTATTGGTCAGAGTATTGGTCACTTGCCTAGTAGCTTTTCATGCAACTGGCTGTATATTAGTCTATGATTTGATTGCAGTTCCCTTGTGTATACTTTATAGAAACACTGCAAACCTGTAGGACTGAACATGAAACAATTTCAAGAAACTGAGCTGTTCCCTAATCCTGACAACTTTTTCTTTTCACAAATTTTAGCTCTTAGTATTTTCTTTCTTTATGCCCCATCTATGTGAAGGAGTCGTATAAATAGAAGAGAAAACAAATGGCAATGAGAAAACCAAAACCGACTTGGGACAGAGTGATGCGTAAGATACAAACAGCGGTAACTTTTAGTAAAGAGTTAAATACAAAGCTGTCTTTGTGAGGAAAGACTGCTCTTAATGTCTCCCTCCCTGTAACTTAGAATGCTCTTATATTTATGGATTAAACTAAACACTGACTAGCATGAGGAAAATCGTGTGGTGAGGAATACCCTTCGGGGACTGCTTGAATGAGGCCTCAGGCGGGGAGTCGGGTGCCCGTTGTAGGCAGACCCTGGCCTGCTGGGTGATCCTGGGCATGCTGCCCCGACCCCGTCGGCCTTTGTTTCCCCTCTCGCCTTGGGTGGGCTCGTCTGTTTGGGACGCGAGTGCCTCGTAGGACAGATTCTCTTCGATGAAGTGCTTGTGCAATGCAGTCATGATCTCTGCTACTGAAATAATCTTTCATTAAATCTGCCCGGGTGAGGGGCCTCTCTGATCCTCCTCCTCATTTAGGAGCTGTTTAAGATAAGCAGAGGGCCCCCTCCCCCCAAACTGTCAATGATTTTCTTATTTGGAGCTGATTTTTCAATGTAATCAGAGAAATACTTTAATTTGCTTTACACTGCTGTCTCCTCCTTGTGGCACATCAACGTTGCTGGAGTAATTGATACGCAACGAGTACCTCGGGCAGGAGCCCTGGACCTTCCCTGAGCCTCCAGCACGAGGATATCTGCATCGAATAGCCCCTGTGCTTTGCAGCAGCTGCCAGGCTGAGCCTGTGAAGTGCTCGGTTCCCCCACGCTGACTCTGAGACAGGCTGTAGCTGCATGGCGTTTTTCTGAGGATTTTCGTTACTATTACCCAAGCAAATCCTAAAGGAGTAGTGAAAAGGATAACGTGATCAGCCATGGCAGGAAGAGGAACGTTGCTGTGCGGGGTTTGGGTCTGGGCTGTCAAAGGGGAAGAGGACTTTCTAATGAACACTGAGTGGTGCGCTCTCCCTGCTTAAAACTAGGTCAGCCCTCATTAGGCAGCATTTTCCTGTGTCCCAGTAATGGATAAATTGCAGCATGCAATACTTCTCTGAGTGTAACTGGGCTTGTGCTGGTTCTGTGGATGGGAGGGTGCAGATTGGACCGTTTGCTTGTCCTAGCGCTAATGCGTGCCCAGCGCCTATGCAAAATGCTGAATGTCAGCTCTTTTGGCAAGTTTATCACTTGCTTTCCAGCTTACTGTCTCAAGCACTGCAATCCTGATTAGGCTCTGCAATGAGCATGTGTAAATTATGCTACGAGTTTCTAATGGCGTCTTCATGCTTGTGCCCTTGGCGGCTAATCAACATGCAGAAATGCTCTAATGTTTAAATAGCTCCAGCAAACTTCACCAGAATAACTCAGAGCAAACTGCAGCATTAAAGCTTCATCTCACTGAAGCTGCAGGATTTCAAATGCCCGTTTAGCTTTGACGTGAACCCTTTAGATCTGAAGCTGCACCTGCTCCTAAGATGCAGACTTTCTGTCCCACACTGGTTTTGTCAATGTAGGCTCCTCAAGAGTGAACCTTGGAGTGATCCTGGGGAGTAAAATGTCAGTAAGGCTGGGATCCTTGCGCTTTTGAGCCACCAGGAACAGAGCTAGTATTTAATATTTCTCTCCCCATGTGTGTGTTTCTTTAAGCAGAGAAATCTCCGCTTGCAAAACTGCCACTGTCTGCACAGGTCTCAATTTGTGCCTTACTGACTGTGAACATTGCAGCCATGACTAGAATTAGGATCTTCCCCGCCAGGATATTCCTAAGCTGGTCTGTTTTTAGGATGGGTTTGCTTTCAGCAAATCTGTAGCCTCTCTGAGTTTGCCAAGTATAAAATGGGGCAGACTGTACTACATGCAAGTGCTTTGAGGCGCTAGTGCTTCTCCTGCATTTTAAAATTATCTGATTAAAAAGAGCTGTGGGGGAAAAGTTTCCATTTTTATCAGTTCAAATGCTCTGGGCCAGTTTTGTCTTAAAGTGATAGCGGAGTGATATATAGGAACTTGCTGGTTGCCCTCTTCAGTTTTCTATTCATTTTTAATTGCACATTTAAAAGTAGAATGTGCATCTGTGAAGGCATTTAATTACTCTGTCTCCTTCAATGTGAAGATTAGCCTTGCTGGTAGAGCTTTAACAAGTAAGCTAGTGCTGGGCAAGGTGGTGGGAGCGTGGCGTGGAAGAGGGGGGTGCGGGGCATCTGCCTTCTGCATGATCTGGTTCCCTGCAGCCTGCCAAGGGCGGTGTGCTGCCCTGGGATGCATAATGAAATACCTTCCTCTCTCTGCTTATTTAGACAAAATGGTTATTTAAAGCCATTGTGCTTACCAAGCAGATCAATGCGCTGGGAATTAATTTACTGTCAGTCTTGGCTCTGCCCTGTCTATTATGCAACATCGTGGTGTGTTCTCTTGTTTGTGTATTCTTCTCATAATGAATACAGACGTTCCTTTTGTAGGATCTTCATACCAGAGTGAGTGTACTCTTCTGCCCCTGCACCTGATAACCCTTTTCCTTCTCTTCTGCTCGTTTGCAACACAGACCCAGATAAGATTCCCGTGATGAGCATGTGAATCTGGTGCGAGCGTAACTCTGAATTTGTGCCTGCGCTGTCATGGTAAGGAGTGGGCGTTGCTTCTCTTTAGTTGTTTGCACTAAACTGGATTTAACTTCTCTGCTCCTGGTTCCTGCCACGGCCACCAGAGGTGCTGGGGAGGCAGTGGTGTTCTGGCCCGAGCGTGGAGGTGAGCAGAAGGGGGGGCCGCAGGAGGCATCGTGCGGCGGGTCAGATGTCTCCTGAGATGCTGCAGCCTGTTAGTCCTGCCCCGGGAGGCTCCCAGCAAGGACCTGTGGCTGTGGTGCTCTGAGAAGATTTAGGAAAAATGGTCCTCTTTGTCTTCCAGGACACTTATAAACACAGTGATACAGTATTTTAAAAAAAAAAAAAAAAAAAAAAGCCTGTGTTTTCAGTCTTTCCTCACAGGATTTTGGAACACTTTGCAGACATGCTTTCAGTGAGCTGTGAATCCACTTGATGAGGCAGATCATGATAATTAGCTGCTTTTTTTTAAGTTAATAGCAAAAATGAAGCGTAGATTAAGCCCCAGGAGCCTTTGCATCTCAGCTCCTGGCCTTTTTGATCACATTTCTTGATTTATTGAAGAGAGGATCCCTTTTAAAAAACACATTCACACTTGCAAATTCACATATGTCATTAATATCAAAATACTAATTAAAAGAACCTCCATTTTGGTAAAATACTTTTTCAGAAACCAAATATATAGGCTTACTAAAGCTTTTAGTTCCAAAACAGACCTCAGGTCTACATCAGCTTCTCGTAGACCTGCACTCAAAAGACTAATTGAGTAGTAAATATATCTAGATTGGTTACTAACACTAATAAAATTTGCCCGCGGTTAACAATCTCTTTCAATGTATAGTCATTCAGTAAGTCATGCAGTAAGTTTGACAGTGTGAGTTAGTGTCATGATTCCTGTTAACTTTGCTGCTGGGGTGAGGGTTGAGCAGTAAACGCTGAAAGCACTAGCCATGAATTATTGCTTCCTCATTCATTCCTTGCAGTGTCATATAACACTAAATAGATTACTAATGTTGCAAAAGCATGATGTCTTAAAATGGCTGCTGGAAAATGGTGAGTAATTCATTAGATAGAAGAAGGCAGAAGCAGAAAGGAGTCTCCTTTTGATAGCCCAAGACTGAAAATATGAGCGCCTGTGAAGGAATAATCCTCACCACACTACTTAGCATTGCAGCAGCGCTTAGGTGCCCAGCCAAGAGCAGGGCCCTACGGCTTTGACCCTGCAACCAGCAGGGTTTGGCGCTTAAAGGTTTGGCTTGTGATGCTGTCGCCGTGCACAGCCCTTGCACAGTGAAGGGAGAAGTGCAAAAGCGTAGGCAGGTCCCTGTTGATGAAGCTGCTGTTATTAGTTATCGCATTTGATTTGTCAAGTGCCAGCAGAGTTCGTGATGCCATGCCAGAGAAGAGGACGCTTCCTTCCTCTTGAGTTAAAATCGAAATGCCACCTCTACAAGAGCTGTAAGCCTTTCGCTGCTCAGCTCATGCTTTCAGTTGTTCTGAAGTCATACTTGCTGCAAACATAAGAGTCTGATCCTGTTAGTGCATTGGAAGACTCTGAGGAAAAGTTAATATATGGGCATGATATTAACTCTTGTTTTAATTCTGGGCAGATCTGATAATGTTAGGGTGTATTTGTCATGTGATACTGGATTTAAGAAACAAGACGGCTGAGACATGGTGTGTGGAGTGTGGAAGTAACTGAAAGAGAAGGACTTGGGAAGGACAGGGCACGCGCAGGGAGGAGGCCCTCTCGCAGGCCAGAGGGAGCTGTAATAATGAATATGACTTACGGGCAGGATCAGGAAATAAAGCAGAATATAGAAAGCTCCAGTTGTTAATGGAGACAGCTGAGCATATAGTGAGTGTCTGGTTCCTTTTGGTGCTGCTACACCCTGAAAACCCTGTTTGTGCCCTTAGTTTGTGCTTGCTGCAGAGTGCCGTTGGGACCCCATGGCCGGGACCCCATGGCCAGTCCCCCAGTTTGGCTCCTGACTGCGTTCCTGAAAGACGGGCTCTGCCGTAGCGGTTCTCGTGCATTAGGCTGTGTGGACCGTATCCCTCCATTTGGCTCAAGGGCATTCCCAGCAGTGCTGTGAATAATGTATCCGAGCTGTCCATCTCCATCGGAGCAGATACAGTGGAAAGACATTTGAGGAAACTCTGTAAAGCTGCATTTTCTTCTCTGTCTGGATCTTCTTAAATCCTTCTGACATCACGCGTGGATATTTATTTTTCTATGCGTGTGTACTCATTCACTGCTCCTCTTTTGAGTAAGAGGAATGAGGTTGCTTATGTTTCATTTTTCTTAGGACTGATCCCAATCTGATTCTGTTGGGTACCCGAACTCTGGTTTGTGTGGTTCTGCAAGGTGGAAATGGAATAAGCAAAGAGTGGGCTTGATCACAGGCCTGTAAGGATTTTCTCATGGGCTTTCTCAGTACTTGGGGAGAGGTTTTTCTCCAGTGCAAATCGACTGAAGTTTACATAATTATGTTAGCAGAGAACTTAGCCCCTTTGCATTTCCTCTACTTGGAAATCACATCACAGGTCCTGCTCCAGTACATACAGAAACTGCATGGATCACCAGTGATTTTTGGGGAGAACAGTTTATCTGGTCTAAGCTTATCTAAAATACTGGTCCATACCTCTTTTCCTTTCCTGTTTACTGCAAGCTGTTTAACTTTTTGAATGTGAAGCTCTATCTCCTCATATTAGGATTCTGGGTCCCTTGCAAATGTTCTATAACATGATGCACTTCCTTAATTTGAACTTCCAATTTATACATTAATGTAATATATCAGCATTATTAATGACATTAATCTGTTTATCTTCCCAGAGGGTTTCTCATCTGTAACTGAGAATTGATTAAGGAGAAGCTTTATACTGGTACTATGAGAAAAGGAAAATTAATAAAAAAATGCATATACATTTTTGTGCACGTATATACATATATGTATGTATAAAATAACTGGAGAAACTGATCTGTGTAAAAGTTGCTTCTAGGGAGTATCCCAGGTGCAGCTGGTACTTTTTCAGGCTGGTGTATTTGCATGCTGCAAATACAATTACATTTCAAAGATACAGAAAAACATAATTTCATTTTGATGGGAGGAGCTGATAACTATTAAGTCCAGAATGTTTTAAATGAACTTTTTTCTAATACATGTTTATCATTTAAGACCAAATGATTTCTGTAGTAAATATCTGTACTGTTCTAGTGAATTGATCTTGTTGCTCAACTGTAGGGTCCTTTAGAAATTTTAGAACTAGAAGACTTTGTCCTCCTGTACCTGCATTTTAGCCCCAGATTAGGAGAGGAAAATAAACTTTCCAGGCTTCTCAATTCCTTCTTAATTTTTTCAACTTTTAATGAATTACAAAATAAAATGAGAATAAGAAGAATATCCTGCAGTTATGCAGATGTACCTGTACTAAGTGTCTGAAATCATGTATTCAGTCAGCAGCTTTCCTCATTATAATGGCCTGAATATCTTAAACTCTTGCAGTAAACATACACTGCTCACACATGTATTTGACATTTAGCTCAAAACCTTGTAAGGAAGGTGTAGTACTATGAGACCTTAATATATGATTAAATTTTAAATGCTCTCCCCAAAAAAGCAAAAAAAAAAAAGCAAAAAAATTAGAACTTTGTTTTATATTATTCATCAGGTAAGTCATGTTGGAATGGAATTCAAAGGAAGGATGCTATAAACAAGTTAGTTATTGCAAGATAAATACAAAGTGTAGTAAATGATATTAATTAAGCTTTTGGGGAGAACTTAAAGATGGGGCCTTGCACTACAATATAATAGTGGCAACTAAGCCAGAAGCTCTGGATCCAGTGTTGAGTATAATCCTTGTTGTGCAGTGACCTCTACAGCTGGAGGGATAAGAGAGGCTGCTTTTAACCTCTTCACTGGTCCATGACTGTCATCTGCAGAGGCAACCCACATGTCAAAAGCAATCTAACTAGTGTAGAAAGACCCAAGGGGTTCAAATAAGGTTAAATTTGTAACAATCTGTCCCTGTTCTGTTACTGAATGAAAATCGTGATAATTTACATGTGCTACTGACATCAGAGTTAAAAAATATAAGATTATTCAATCTTGGTAAAACCTGAAAGAAGAAAACTGAAAGCTTTCAATGATGACAGGCTTCCAGAATTTTAGGTATGGGCTGTTTTGCTTGAAATTACTTCTGCTTATTATTGAGTTTTCTCTTTTACGGTTTCTTTCATTTGCTGTGCGAAGGTTCTAGACCATGGCTTCTGGCATGCATCAGTGTTGATGCTGACAGAGATTCGTCAAGTAGAAAACTAATTCAATGTGGTACAGTGTCCATGGGTGACCATTTTAGTGGCTGTTATGTGTACTATGGCACAGTTTCAGGAATGAATTAAAATCGGAGCCCTGTTATCCTGAGCATTGCTGCGCATACTACAACACAATCCATGTTGCAAAGAGTGTCTGCTCTTATTGTCCTGCACGGGTGGCCATGAATGGTGGAGGAAGGAACTTTTGGTGCAATTCTGCCTACAAAGTCAGCAGGGAGCAACTTGTCCAGATAACACAGGAAGTCTGGGGCAAATGCAGCTGTGTATCCAGAGCTGGTGAACTGCTGTCCTCACCGCAGCGTTATCCTTTTTCACCAACATCAGATCCAAATTTCCAACAAGCTTGTAATGCTGGGGGATTGGAGGCAGTGAACACTTGGAAAGGTCTTCAAAAGTTTTAGCAGGCTTTCCAGCGCCTGCGAGCCAAGGCGTGACAGTGTGCACTGGTGAAATGAGCTCCTCCGTTCTAGGCTGATGCGGTCACTAATATGGTCCCTGCTTGTAGCAAATGCTGTTTAAGGAATGTTCTAAGTAAACGCTTCACATATGGTGTGACGTCCCTACACCACCACTTCACCTATTCTTGTTTTAGTCCATGCGCAAACCCCTCTCACAATAGATCTGGTGATGCTTGATCCCCAAATATGTTTATCCAGCTAGGTGTATTGACTAAAACCTGTTT